TGGGTTAAAACCAGCAAGGTGACCCCAGCACACTCCCGGTCTCTAAGTTTCCCAAAACCTTGTACCCAGAAGTGTTCAGCCCTCACTCGGACAGTTCAGAGAAATAATATGGTTTGTTTGTTCCTCTAAAGACCCAAAACACATTACAGTTTATTAACTTGCCTGGGGTGAATACACCCTTCCCTTTAAACACCACATTGACTTGGTTTATAGTAAAATAAAACAAATTGATTAACAATAGGACATAGGTTAAGTGATGCTAAGTAAAAGGAATAAAACCAGAAAGGATTACAAGCAAATAAAAATGAAAACACACATATAAAAGGCTAAAATTTAATCTACAAAGATACAAGCTTTGTTCAAGATGGTTTCTCTCACCTCTTGGTTTTCTTCCCAGCCAGGGCTGACTTTCATTCAGTCAGGACCTTCCACAAGAGTACAAGCTGCTGGCTTCCTTTGTCTTCCCGGTGAAAGATCTTTGCCTAAGCAGGTTTCTCACCTGTATTCAATTCCAGAGACGTCAACCCCCCCTTGGTTGAAGGACCCATCTTTCTCACCTTGCAAGAGCTTGTATCTGTCTAGTGATGAATGCCAAAGGTGGCTTTTGTCCTTACTTACATGTACCAAAGTTCAATGAACTTGTTTCAAGAGGCAGGATGACCTCATACTGTTGTTCCTGTCCTGTGGCCTTCCCACTCCCCTGTATGATTTCTATGTAAATGGGGCTTCCATTGTTTCTGATTCCACCATGCTTAATTTACATAGGAGGCAGTGCTATTCCCTCCTGTCTGGGCAGACTGTGCTGCCTAATATCCCCCCAGCCCTCTCTCAATGCAGCAGCCTGGGCTCAGAGGACAGCACCTCTCCTCAGCCGCAGCAGCTCTGGGCCTGGGGGAGAGGCACTGCTCCCCGCCACAGTAGCCCCGGGACTGGGGCTGCAGGAGAGGCACCTCTCCCCGCTGTGGCAGCCCCAGGGCTGGGGCTAAGGGAGAGGCACCTCTCCCCACCAGCCCTGCATGCCCCCTACCTTTCTCCTCTCCAGTTCAGGCCCTGTGGCTGCGCACCTGTGTGGCCCTTGATAGCCTGCTGCATGGCCATGCAGCTTACAGGGAACTTAGAATATGGGATATTTTAATTTTCCCCATACATCATCAATGAATGAGGGCTATACCACTGGTTAATGCCAACTGTGTTTCTTCCATAACCCTTCTCCCTCCTTCCAGTCCAGAGAACTACTGAGTGAAAAGGAAACTTGAACCTGATTTCATGTTATGAAACAAAGGACCATGGGAACTAGTTGGGTGGGCTGCCTTGGCACAGAGTGAGTCAGTGGAGGCACCCAAACCTGTTTCTGATGCAGATTAGCACTTACACTAAAATAGAAACTTTGCCCTGAGGTCTCTTTATTTAATGTCACCCTTCCAGAACTTTACCTGATCAACTGACTGACTTGTTGGCTCATACACAGCAAATGCAACTCAAGTTAGGGTGAGAGGCATTTCCTATTCATAACTTAACTCATTGCCAGAAAGGCTACTCTCCTGGCAATGCCTGGTGTGCCAGGAGGCAGAACGACTGACGAGGGCCCAGTGGCACTTGGAGACAGTGGTAAAGTGAGTTCCCGGGAACTTCAGTGTTAGCACCTGCTGTGTTTATCCTTGGGCCACATAGTGTCCCAGATGAACAGAAGAGCCTTCTAATGAGTTTGCTCAGAAACCATTAAGGGTGAAAAATCTGTTATTTCTGATCCTCAAAAGCCCTTTCCCTTAGACCTCAGTTTGCTCAGAAACCATTAAGGGTGAAAAATCTGTTATTTCTGATCCTCAAAAGCCCTTTCCCTTAGACCACATCACCCCCAAACACACCCACCCAAGCAGGTGGGACTCAGGTTTTACCTATGCTTCCTCCAGAGTTCACAGCAAAGTCCTGGTGTAAGTTACTGTGGAGAGTGGGTCTAGATTAGAAGCATGTGAGTAGCTTGCAGCCAGCATCCTCTCCCTGCCCACCTCTCCTGGCATGCCACACCTGAGGATGTCACGTGAGTGCTGAGTTTAGTGTTGGAATCCCTTATAGAACTCACCGAGGTTCCGCTCCCAGTGCTGAGGAACTTAAAAACTCATTCATTAGTTTTTAAGTTCGCCTTCTTCAGCCATTTACACCCAGGCAGAGTGTGTGTGTGCAAGGGGATGTGTCCACAGCAGATCCCTCTAAGCCAACCTGCAGAAGGTTGGCAGAGGGAAGGGTAGGGTCCTAAACAACCGACGCTACTGACTAATGAAGCTCCATTTTCTGCTCCCACAAATGGCTGAGTTTGTCAAATGATGAAAAGCAGCATTAAAACAAATTGACCATAACTGTGCTAAAAACCTTCTGTGAAGTTTAAAATATTTTGGGGGGAGAGGGGACGCTTTTAGCAGAGAAATTCTCTGGTTGAAACTCAATTCCTATTTGGCTTTTCTGCAGAGTTTTGTCTGTGGGAAATGTTTCATTTCAACATCTTGCTGAAGAGACACTTCTTAAAACGTTAAGACCTGAAGGAGAGCTGTGTGGAACTCCGAAGCTTGTCTCTTTCACCAACAGAAGTTGGTCCAGTAAAAGATATTACCTCAGTTACCTTGTTTCTCACATTTAAAAATAGTCAGTTTAAAGTTAACTTTAAGATGATGACCCATTTCTAGACCCTTGTGTGAAATGCAGGTTTTCGTACCGCAGGTGTTCTGTTCTTAACATGACCTGCTAGACTGGCAACTTTCCTAGCAACTCCTTGGGTTACTGCGAGAAAAGGTCTGTGATGGGCCCTTTGGAGACAATGGTACAGTGGGTTCCTTGGAGAAGTGAGTGTTAGCACAGTGCAGTCACTGATATTCCCCTGAAGCTGGGAGTGCACAAGCTGGGGCTGGCAGTCTCTGGGGAGAAGAAGCCAACCGGGAACATCGGGGATCCCAAAATGCCAGGCTACAGAATGGGGAGCCATGTTAGGCTCAGAGGAAGCAAGGGAAGTGTGAGGGGCCTAGGAAAGAGGAAACATGAGGGGTAGGAGAAAAGGGTGAGAGATGGTCACATCTCATCCTCTGAGTTTGGGTGGTGGGTAAAGTACACTGCCCCACCCTGGCTCCATGATGCCAGAGGATCTCAGTCCCACTGGGTTGAAATCTCTCTCGCCCTCACTGCCCATCTGGGCCTGGCTGTGCAGTTAGGCATGTGTGGATGTGCATATCACTCATCTGTGGGAGGTGGGAGTGTTTGTGGGTCAGCGTGGATCAGGCCAAGTACCTGTTTTCCTGTGGCAGCACATTCTTGGCCTTACTCTTTTAACTGCTGTTTGGGCTAGCATATATTCATTTCTTTACCAGGATACACAAACACATAAATAGGTGCTGTGCTCTGGGTCACACACACACACACACACACACACACACACACACACACACGCGTCATGACACAAGAGGCTGCTCTTCCCACCCTGGCAATTAAACACACAGCACAACATGAAAGCATCTTCTGAAATATTAAGTCCCTTAGCTCCATCACCTTCCCCATCCTAAAGACTTGGGAGTAAAACAGGCTTTTCAGAATAGGTTTACCGGCTCTGAGGAGCCGGCAAGTGTGTAGAGCAAATGTTAATATTGGGGAGTCCCTGCCAGCAGACCCTTTCTTTTTAAACTGAAGGGCTCCAACCTGACCTCCTCTGCTGATCTCAACCGCAGCAGCACTGGCTTGGGGGAGAGAGGCAATGTCTGAAGTAACTCAAACCATTCAAGCTTTCTAGGTTAAAACTAGAGCTGGTCAGGAATTTTCCAGTCAAAATGTTTTTTTAACCAAATATGTGGTTTCCACAAAATCAGTATTTTTCACTGGAAAATGTCAGTTTTGCCAACATATTTTTTCTATTTTTTTTATCAGGAAAAGCAAATGAAGTATTATGTTTTGAGTAGGGTCAAAATTTATCTGTGTCCACTGGAACCACCGCAGTGCCTTGTGGGAGTTGTAGTTCAGGTGCCTCATACCCACATTTTCCCCTGGGGACCAGGTTCACCAGCTGGACTACAACTCCGATGTATGTAAGACTGTCTGAGCTTTCAGGCTTACAGACCTACTAACTTTGGGGCTTGTGCCATGGCTTGTGGTTGAAATAATGGTTTGTTATCCATTAGGGTTGCCAGTTCTCCAGGATTGTCCGGGAGTGTCCAGGAATTAAAGATTAATCTTTAATTAAAGATTATGTCATGTGATGACACCTCCAGGAATACGTCTAACCAAAATTGGCAACCCTATTATCCATTGCCTGCTCAGTCTCACTACTGGCATGTTTTTGGGTGTTTGCCAAGAAGTTAAAGTAACTCTCCTCTTGCCCAATTGCATTCTCTGTGTTTGTCCATTGCTTGTTCAGTTCATTCTCCAGAACAGGAGGGTGGACATTACAAACCTGACGAGTTGTGTTTTATCCAAATCGCCAACATCGACGTTCTCCGCCATCTGATCAGAGTTGACAAAATCAGTAGTTTCAAACAGGTCTTTGGAGGCACCATAGTGCATCCAGATGCTTTTGGGTAGCTGTCCACTTAAATCAACTCATGCAGATGTCCACAGAGTGTGGTGAACTCTTCTTAATCAGATTTTAAGATCATTATCTGATTAGTTTCAAGTCACTATTTTTGTGAATTTCTCCAAAGTTACTTTTAAGGGCACGGAGGGAGGGAAGGTTAAAACCTTTAGATGTATTTAAAATATATGTTGTTCATGGGAACGGCATCACTCCCATATTTTGGAATGTGTATTAAATTCATAACCTAACTCCAGTAATAACTGGATGAGCCCTTCAGTGAAACCAAGCAGGTCTGTCCCTCCCTGTCACACCCTATTAGAAATGAGTCTTCATAGATAAGAATGAAGGAAAGACTCAATTCCCCCCACACTCACCCTTCCTGCTCATACACGGACACAAGCACACACTCAAACACACACGCAAATGGATGCACACAAAAAACACAGGAGCAATGTCCTTATTAAAAACGGACAATTTAACAGCCTGTCTTTTTAAAAAAGATTGTGAATATTGCTTGCCATGAGCTGAGCTCCTCCCTCCAGGATTTCAGCAGCAGGTTCTTTATTTTTTGCAGCATCTCATAATGAAATCAGCACAGATTCCAAGCAGGTATTCACCTGAGGGACACATCTTGAAAGCCTCCACGCAGTAGCCGTCGACAGAAACACAGGCAGGGATTTCTTTCATTTGACCATACCCTGCACAAGGGAGAAATGTTCGGAAGTTGTTTTATTATAGTAAATGGAACTGGGTGAAATTTTTCAGATGAAGAATTTATTCAATTAAAAAAGCCATTTTGGTCAATCCCAAATTATTCATAAATCGTTTCGGCCAGTCACAAAGTGGTTGAAGTTGAGTTGCTGCTGTGGTTAGCCCCGTGATTCACGCAGTCAGCTAGCACGCAGCAGACCCAGATTAAAATCTCCACTCTAGAGCAAGCCCCAAACAGACTCAGTTCTTCCGAAAAATTCAGATTCGGTTCAACCTGAACTTAACATTTTTGTCTTTTGATTTTTTGGAACTGGCAGCAAACAGAAAATAATATCCATTATTTGCCCAGCTCTGTATGTAAGTGCTTTTGCTTTCTTTTTATAGATGGGGAAATACAAAGAATAAAGCGAAACTGTTCAAATTTGGATGCTTAAAAATAGACCCCTAAATCCATAATTAGGCTGCTAAGTAGGCAGCACAGTTTGCAGATGCATCTCCGCCATGTATTTGGGTGGATTAAGGGGCCAGATCTGAAAAGTCATCTGCTTGCCGGAGATTGCACAAGTCAATATCAGAGCCAGGAATTCCTGCCTGTTAGGCCTGTTCTCAGACCAACAGAGCAGCCTCTCTCTCTCTCTCTCTCTCTCTCTCTCACACACACACACACACACACACACACACACACACACACACACACACACACACACACACACACTA